CCTAAATTTATCACTGGGAAGGTTAAAAATCCTTGGATTCATCTCAGCAGGTGCCACGGATTTTGAGTGGTTTCCCAAGGGGCAGATTGGCCTCAAACCTGTGGAAATGTTGGAATTTTTATTAAWAATTATTAATAATATTTGGACAGCTTGAATTCCTGGCTGAATGGAGGATCCTCAGTTTTTCTGCTCTCATTTCAAGTGATCAGTGTCCTATTTCCACCTGGATATTGTTATTATTTCCAATAAATATTCACTCYTATTTAATGATGAGGGGGAAATCCCAAAAATCGTATACAAAATAATATTCTAGATCCATTGTAGATGTCATTAATTGATTTTAAGCTGSTTTAACTTTATTTTTATGGCTTTTATAGAGCTTTGAAAGGAAAGACAAAGCTCATAAATAAATATTCACTCCCATTTAATCATTAGGGTGAAATCCTCCAAAATACTGGCCAAAATAATGTTTTAGATCCATTGTAGATGGGATTAATTGATTTTAAAATGGTTTTAACTCTATTTTTATGGATTTTATAGGATTTTGTAAATGAAACAAAGCTCATAAATAAATATTCACTTATATTTAATTATGAGGGGGAAATTCCCAAAAATATTAGGCAAAATAATATTCTAGATCCATTGTAGATGTCAGTAACTTATTTTAAGATGATTTTAACTCTGTTTTAATGGATTTTATTGAACTTTTGAAGGGAAAACCAAGCTCACCATRAAACTTAAAGCACTTTAAGCCAAATAGAAGAAAATTGAAGAAAACCACACCACTCTTACATATAATAACATCAATTTATTCCATATGAAAGCTCACGGATTGGTTTTTTTTTTCCACATTAGCCAATGGCTTAACAGAAAAGAAGGAACTGATTTTTCTTTTCTCCCAGATTTCACAGGGATGAAGGCAGAAATCATGGTTTGTAACTGGCCACCTCCAGGTCCACGGGGTAGCGGACGCGGTTGGCCATGCACTTCTGCCGGTCAATAAAAATGCTGTTGGCTTTCACAGCGATCTCCTTCTCCAGCTTCATCCTGGTCTCCTCCAAATTCTTCAGGTTCTGCTCAGATTCCATCAGTTTTCTCTTCAGGGCCTCCAGGAATACAGCAAGCTCTTCCACTTCGCTCACCAGCCTGGAGGGAAATGGGGGAAGGCGTTAAAAAAGRGCAGGAGGTGGCGCGTGAGAAGGATTAACTGGAGTGGGAAGAAAGATCAGCAGATGCAGAATCAAATAGATCAGGAAAAACCCTCAGAGAAATCGAGGAAAAATACTCCAAGAAATCCAGGAAAAGTCCTCAGAGAAATMCAGAAAAAGTCCTCAGAGAAATCCAGAAAAAGACCTGATTTAATTCCCTGAATTGGRKTTGCTTTAATTCCCTGATTGGGTTTGCTTTAATTCCCTGATTTGGTGTTGACTGAATTCCCTGATTTTGGGTTGATTTCATTCCTTAATCTGGGTTGATTTAATTCCCTAATTTGGGGTTGATTTAATTCCCTGATTTGGGATTTAATTGAGGTAATTCCCTGATTTGGGGTTGATTTCATTCCCTGATTTGGGGATGATTTCATGCTCTAATTTGGGGTTGACTTAACCCCTTAATTTGGGTTTTAATTGATGTAATTCCCTGAACTGGGATTTGATTGATTTTGTTCCCTAAATTGGAATTTAATTGATGTAATTCCCTGATTTGGGGTTGATTTCATYCCCTGATTTGGGATTTAATTGATTTCATTCCCTAATTTGGGATTTAATGGATTTCATTACCTGAACTGGGGCTCGTCCCTGCAGAGCTCAATGTTGGGCCTGAAGGATCTGTCRTAGAGCCTGGTCTGAGCCACCTTCAGGTGAGCTTCCTTATCCTTGATGGCTTTCTTCAGACTCATAATGTTGTCTTCCTCATCCTTAATATCCTTCAGGATCTGGAGAAGACAACCAGGAAAAGAAAAACCCGTTCAAAAAATTATCCACATTGTCCCCAAAAATATCTGCTCGTGGTGAAGTATTAAAGTTTTCAACTCCTGGAAATCAAGAATTAAATAATTTTCATTTTAGATGGTAATAACATTCATTTTATTTAAGATTAAATACAAGAATTTAGGTGGTTTCGACCTCTCTATTTTTAAATTACACTGAGGATCCCATCTTTAGCTTAAAAAGCAGAAAATGTTCTGCAGCCTGTCCCAAACCTCTCCCATGGCTCCTGTGGGATGACAACACATCCCACCTCCATGGAGTGCTTGTAACTGTAAATTTGAGCTGGAAATTATCCAAGAAAAAACTCTTATTTTGAAGAAGAGCTGCTGATCTGCTTGGAAATGCCTGGATTGCTGAAGAAAATGGGAAAGAGAGGAAATCCTGAAATTCTCCTCCTCAGAACCACTGGCACATGTGCAAAAAATAAAGATGTCCAACTGTCATTTCCAACCAGAGCCTAAGGAATTCTTTTTTTTTCCACACTTGTCAATAGCTAATGGAGAAAAAGGAGCTGCTCCATGTTGGAAAAGGGAAGAGGCCAAACCCACCCCTTGTTCATAGAAAAAATAAAAGTACGGAGGTGGTTTTAATCTYTTTATTTTTATTATTACACTGAAARCCCMATCTCCGGCCTAAAAAGCAGAAAAATATTCTCTCAAAATATCTCCTGTGTCTCCTGGGGGATGAAAACACACCCCACCCCCAGGAAGTGCCAGCAGGTGCAAAGGAGTGATTTTTCCCCAGATTTCCAAAAGCCTAACACAAAAGGAGGAACTAYTGGAGGAGGCTGAAGATGRCCCTTGTYACCTGCCAGRRCCTGCTGCAATTCCWGAAAAWCCTGKGAATCCCGACTCAACCAGAGCTCCCTGATCACCCAGTTTTAGGGTTTAGCTCAGGCCAGACATGGATGAAAGGCTGGAATTTAACTCCATCCCAACAAAAAGCCCCAAGAGCTGCACCAGAACCACAACAAATCTACGGAATCTTCCGCCAAATCCTACACTGACGCAGATAAAACCATTTTTTTTCAAGGATAAATCTCCCGTGATGTCAGAATTGCAGAAATTCCCTCTCACATGCTCCAGGTGCCGCTCCAGCTTGTACTTGGCTTCATCCAGCTGCTTGCAGTGGGCATCAAAGGCCTCGTTGACTGCTGCCCTCTGCATCCTCAGGTCCTCGGAGGCGTCGTGGATGATGTTGTTGATCAGGGAGCGCAGCTGCACCGAAGCCAATTTTTCCTGTTCCCCAAAGGAAATGTTGTCGTGGCTGAACTGGGCCCAGGTCTTTGGGGTGGAGGCGCTGGAAGAATGGGGAATTGGATAAAATTGGAATTTTGCCCTTAAAAACTGATTTTCTTCATGGGAAAGTGGCATCGACTTCTGCTCGGTTTAGCTCTTGCCTGCAGTGTGGATTCCCCATAAGGAAGGAGATAAATTCTTTAATAAATTAATAAAAATACTTTAATATGAATTATTAATATATGAATTAAAAATATAAATATATGAATTATTATAAAATAATAATTCTCAAATTCATAAAAATCCTCTAATAATAAACTCTCGTTCCTATGGCTTCAGAGGGAAGTAATGAATGGCACAAAATCACCCCAAGCCCTTCCATCTTTGACTAAAAGTCCTAAAAAAGTTTTTTGGGCGGTTCAGTCCCAGGAAATAAACACAGGAATAAACTCAGGATTTACAGGCTGTGTTTCTTTGGAAAAAATAAAAAAAAAAAGAAGAAGAAAACAAGGTCTTGACAGGCTGGAAAAGAGAAGGCTCTCGGGAGAACTCAGAGACCCTTACAGGGGCTCCAGGAGAGCTGGAGAGGGACTTGGGACAAGGAATGGAGGGATAGGACTCAGGGAGAGACGGGATATTGGGAAAAAATTGCTCCCTGTGAGGTGGTGGGACATCCAGCACAGGTGCCCAGAGGAGCTGTGGCTTCCCCTGGATCCCTGGAAATGTCCAAGGGCAGTTTGGATGMGGATTGGAGCAGCCTGGAAATGTGGGAAGGGTTTGGGTTGGCCCTTCCCAGCCCATCCCATGTGACACATCTCACACTGCCCTTACTGCCCGTGGAGCTGCCTTCAAGCTCTTTTCCATGCCCAATCCCATCTGGATTCCGTGTTGCAGAGATGCTGTCCCCTCAGGGTTATCCCAGCAGGAATCACTTACTTCTCCTCGAATTTGACGGAGCTGGGGTGGCTCTGGACGTTGGTGCTGTCGTTGCAGTAGCTGATGCATTTGTCGTCGATGTGATAGGTCTCCACCTTGTCCGACCAGTCCAGCTCACAGTTCTCCTTGGCGATCCGGTTGGATCTGAGCAGTTGGGATCACAACTCAGTGGGAAGCACGGGAATTCCCAAACCCACCCCCATYTGGGAAGCTCAGCTCCACCCTTTATGTTCCACAAGGAAATAAAAACATARTCCTTCCTTTTGGTCTGGAAAATCCCAAACTCTCCCTCCCACAGACATTTCCTAGAAGAGAAGCCTGGTTCAGATGTGATATTGGGAAATTTGGATTAAAAAAAATGGATATTGGGAAAATAATTCCAATGTAAGCATGGCGAGGCCCTAAAATAGAATTCCCAGAGAAGCTGTGGCTGCCTCTGGATCCCTGGAAGTRTCCAAGGCCATGTTGGATGGGGCTTGGAGCATCTTGGGAATGTGGAAGTGTCCCTGCCCATGGAAYWGGAAAATCTTTAATGATATKCAGAWTAAAACTCYTGYTTTGTTRTYGATTAGAGTCACRCRRCACTCAGYTAATTATAAAAAATCCAATTCCAAAAGCCAGGGAATCGTTATCAACTGATAACACCAGGTGGCACTGTCAGCCAAGGAATTAGGAACACTCCACAGGACAATGGGACTAAAATGGGGCAAAAAATGGGGTTAAAGTGATCTAAAAACGATTAAAAACCCCAATAGGGGGTTAAATTAAAAACCTCATTAGGCTCCTCTCATGCTCTAATTAATATAACAGAGCTACTTTATATTAACGTGCATTTACAGCCATTTTTTTAAAATAAATATTTATCAGGTAAAATAAGAGCAGATTAAATGATTTTTTTAAAAGTAAAATAAGACATTTCCAGCAGTAAATTCCTTTATACTGATGGACTTTAGGCGACAGTGACATAATTCCAAAGGGTCTGCTAGAAATTCCAAGCAAAAAAAATCCTTTGGAAAGGCAAAGAACCCCCATGCTGGTACAGAAATTCCAGTTTTAAAGTTCACACTGACATCTGGTGGTAGCAAAATTCCTCTTGGACAGCGCCTTTGATCCCAAAAATCCCTTGAAACCAGCCCAAAATACAAATATATCCCAAGGTGCAAAGAGATATCCAGAGAAGACTTTAAGACTGGCCTTGGTGAGATCTTTATCCACCTTTTTTCCCAGGAATTTTTTAGCTGAAGAATCCTGGRAAATGTCCTACCTTATCTGGGTGGTAGCTTGGATTATGGTTCTTTTTAAAAGATCCCGGATATCCCGGATCAGATCAGCTTCCTGGAGAAAAACAGGGAGAATTTTGTRTATCCAGARAGGGACACAGCATYCTGAGGAGCAGTTGGAGCTGGGGATAAATCCTCACATTTGTTATTGGAAAGCTCAGATTTCTGGAGCCATTGGATCCTGAGTGAACTCAGGTCCAAACCTATGGAGGCTGAAAAATCTGGAATACTCCTAAAGCCTGGGAATTCGGTATTTTCTGCSTATTCCATGAAAAAGTCTGTGTTCTGACTTATTATGGAAGGATTTTTTTCCTAGCACAGGTTACAGAGAATCTGTGGCTGCCCCTGGATTCCTGGAACATCCAAGGTGAGATTGGACAGGGCTTGGARAAGCCTGGGAATAATGGGAAGAGGTGGAAATAGAGGATTTTTAAGGTCCCATCCATCCCAAACCATTCCAGGATTCCAMCAGATTTAACATATTCCTTGCTCAAAACAGTTTTGAGGTAGGGAAAAATCAGGGAACATCACCACGACTGGAACCAGATCAACCAAGTTTATGAGTTTTAAAGTCTTTTCCAACCTAAAATATTCCCTGACTCCCTGAATTTTGTACAATTCTCACATGGGAATATCCTACACCAACTCTCAACTCTTCATGTTTTTAACCGGAAAAAACCACTTAAATATTGATTATAAATCAGAAATTGCACACAACTCCCATTCAGAATATAGCTAAATCCTATCATGGCACCGACTGTTTGGAATCACAGAATATCCTGAGCTGGGAAGGATCTACAGGGATCAAGCAACTCCTGGCCCTGCCCAGGATAATCCCAAAAATCACACCAGGTGCTACTGTCCAAACATTTCAGTCTGTTCAATATTTTTCTTCCGAACATTTCAGTCTGTTCAATATTTTTCTAATACTTATCCTCTGGTTTAATGAGTAACTCATCATGAACCGACTCTGACTGGAGGCTGCAGGTAAATAATCATTCATTCATTTATGGGATACTGAAAGAGGCATTATTCCAGGATGGAAAATGCCCCGGGATGTGTTTTGTGGGACTTCCAGCACAAGGATGCCATCAGCTTTGCAAGGAATCTCTGTGTCAGGGTCGGATCATCACCTTGGCAAGGCYCAGGGAAAGATGAGGGCAGAAACTGCCAAAATTGGGACAGTTTGAGCATGGAAACGGGCAAGGAATATTTCACTACTCTTGAAATTTTGGATTCTGCACTTTTAAAGTGCAGTCTGCAGAGAGCAGGGGATTTGGAGGCAAGTGGAGAAGGAATTTAAAGACTGAATAGGATGTTCTTGTTGGTGCACGAAACCTCGGGTTTGGTTTTGTTCGTGTCTGGGCTGAGAGAGGGATCTGCTCTCCTCCAGCCACGCTTAGGTGATTTTTAAACACTTTTTAAACAGAGGAAGGACTTGAAACGATCCTTCTTAAAGCTCGGAGTGAGTCCAGGAAGGGGCACCGTACCCCTGCACCGCAGGAGACACCTCCAGCAGCTGCAGTTCTATCTCAGAGGCCACAGCGCTGTCACCGCCCCTCAGGGTCCCGCTCACCTTCAGCAGCTCCCTCTCCACCTCATCGGTCACCAGGTCAGGGGGCTGCCTCCTGTCCCGGCACTCCAGGTTATCGAGCACCACGGCGTAGGGCACCTCGGTGGCATCGAGCGCCCGCTCCAGCCGCAGCTTCTGCGCCGCCAGCATGTTGGTCTCGGCGTCCAGCTCCATGATCTCCTTCTGGAGCTCCATCCTCCAGAAGTGGATGTCCTGCAGCCGCTGGTCCAGGGTGCTCTTGGAGTATTCCTGAGCTCGCTGGGCGCTGGCGGCCGCATGTTTGATCAGCTGCTGGGCCCCGGCGCGGTCGCGCTCCGCYTGCTCGCTGGCCGTGAAGGCCTGGTAGTAGACGCCCGTGTTCCTGCGGTGCCACTCGGGCAGCTGGTACTTGGCGGTGCGGAGGCCGGCCATGGCCATGCCGCAGCAGGAGCGCGGCCTTTCGCTGCGGGCCACATCGCAGATCTTKCCGGGCAGCGGGCAGGGGGGTACGATGGGGGGCACCGGCTCCTCGGGCAGCGCCATGGCGGAGCCTCCGCTGCCTCCGCCGCTCCCGCCGCTGAGCGTCCTCCCGTCACCGCAGCAACGCCGCCGGCCAATCAGAAGCAGCGGCCGGGAATGATGGACATGTATACAGACCAATAAAAGCGTGGATTTGCCCCGAGGGTGGCGCTGATTGGCGGATGTGTTGCCTGCGCCCACCCCCACACGCGGCTCGTTGCCATGGTGACGGGGACACGCGGGAAGCTGGCTGAGGGAGGTGTCATGGCGGCGCTGGCCGCCCTCATGTAACCGTAGAACGGGCGGGGTTGGAAGAGTGCTTTAAGAGAATCCACTGCCGCCGTTCACCCAGCGCCACCACTGTAACCACCGACCCACATCACCCAGCGCCAGCACCAGATGCCTCAGACACCTCCAGGGAGCACCTGTTCCACCGTCTGACCACTCGACAGTGAAATGAATTTTTCTAATATCCAGTCTGCGTTCCCGTGTTCAATTCAATTTGAAGCCGTTTTTTCTGCTCTTTTCACTGCAGGTAGAAGAGACTGCTCCACACTGCGCTGCAACCCCTGGGCCTGGGCTTCCCTTTTCCCACTGTGTTTTTCCCACGTGTTCCCACAATGACATTTTCCCGCTGGTTTTGGAAATCCAGGAGGATGCCCAAAGGATTTAATCCCAATTCCTGCCCAGCCAGGTCCTGTATATCCCCCGTGTTTGCCCTGGAGCCCTGAGGAGCCCAAGGAGGCTCCAGGACCTGCAGCCTCTGCTGGTTTTAAGGAGTTCAGTTGGACACGGTTTTGCTCCTTGTTCTGTTCTTGCTCCAAAATATTTGCTCTTGAGGCAGCTGCTGTGACCCTGGTGCTATCAGGGAAAAGGGGAAAAAGGGGGGGAAGGGAAGGGAAGGGAAGGGAAGGGAAGGGAAGGGAAGGGAAGGGAAGGGAAGGGAAGGGAAGGGAAGGGAAGGGGAAAGGAGAAAGGAGAAAGGAGAAAGGAGAAAGGAAAGAAAGGAGACAACAGAGGGCACTCTTGTCCTTGCACAGATCCGCTGTCATCAATGTCACTCGGATTTAGGAAATTTAAAAGGCAGAACCCCCTGGTTCTCTGGAGCCCTCCCGGTGCCAGCCCTGAGGGAGCGAGCATCTCGAAGGGCAAYCAGAAAATGGGAAAATATCCATTGCAATGGGAATGTCTGAGTGAGAAGGGGAAAAATAACGTTTAAAATTGAGATCTCTTGGATAAAGTTCAATCTTCCCCAGCCCCTGCCTGAGGGAGGATTTGGCAGGAAATCCTGGCAGGTACAACAACAGGGATGGGAATCACATCAAGCTGTTCTCGGATTTTCCTTCCCTGGGAACTCGACCGTGGCTCTGGCTGCTCCACCTCGAAGCTGACCTTTCCTAAAGAATACGGAGATGTCRTTCCCAGATTCCTGTCGGCTTCATTTCCCCAGATGACTTTCCCAAATGGGAGTGGGTGGATGGCAAATCCAGACGGCGGGAGCTGTGTCCCGCACGGAGCACACAGGGATGGGGGAAGGGAGGTTATCCTGGGATCAGGACCTCATTGGGAGCTCAGCATTCCCAGAAAAACCTGCCTGATACTTCCAGGAGCTCCCAGATTTAAGGGGGCAYGGATTGAGGTCAGGGTAAAGGTAACTCTGGGATCATTGGCTGTGCCCTGGCATTCCTTGAGGGTGGAGTTCTCCTAATGGGAGGGAAAACCGGGAAAATCAGAGCCTGGAATTGCTCAGAGCAGGAGGGAATGTAAAGATTCCTCTGATATTTCAGTGTAGAATTGTGGAATATCCAGGGTGGGAAGGGATCCACGGGGATTCCAGTCCAACTCCTGGCCCTGCATGGGATCCCAGCAATCTTATCCTATCCAAACACTCCTGGAGAGCTCCAGCAGCCTTGGGAATGTGCCCATTCCCTGGGRAGCCTGGTCAGTGCCTGAGCAYCCTYTGGATGGGGAACCTTTCCCTGATATCCAWCCTCAACCCCCCAGGCATASCTCCAGCTTTTCYTTGGGTCCTGWCCCCWCCTTGRAATGTTCCTTGAATTCCCTAAGGACAAAGAATGGACCTGCTGCAGGATTTYCTTGGRAAAAAAGCATCTGCAAGGCCAGACTGCTTTCTGCATTAACAAATAAAATGGAATTTGCTGCATTTTCTGGGATACCTGGAAAGACATTCCTGCTCCCCATGTTCCAGGTGTTCCCAGCAATAACAGGGATTCAGGAGTGCCCTCAAACCCCATTCCTTATCCAGGAACGTTTCTTTCACTACAAAAATCCACGAAAAGCAGCACATTTTCACATGAAATTTAATGAGATCCMTTCCCTTCCTCCCTTCCAGTGAAAAATCTTGGCAGCAGAGCAAAAACCTGGCACAATCCGATTTCTGGAATCAGCTGTGACAGCTCGCACGAGCTGAAATCCTTGGCAAAACCCCTGGAGCTCCTCGTTAGGAAATGCAAATGGATCCATGGATTTAATCACAGGCTTCTCTGGGAATTCACCACCCTCCCAGGRAAGGATTYTTCCCTGATATCCYGTCTAAAGCAGTTTTCCTTCCATCCATCAAACACATTTCCCTTTCCAAGAATCCCTTTGCTCATCGCAGACAAATTCRTGCTGATTCCAGCATGGCAGSGCYTTGGAATKGGATGATCCTTAAGGTTCTTCCCACTGAATCCATGCCAAGATTCCAAGAGTCCTTTGCAGGTGCCTCTGCTCCGTGTCCCTCCCTTTCCAGGGCTGTTATTCCCATAGAATTATAAATTATATTTATTCTAATAAAGGTATTCTCCAGAGCAGGGATTTGGCAGCTCCTGGATTTATGGCAGTGCCACCTCAGCCACCCCGTAAATGTTGGGAAAAACCATTCCAGGGCTTTCCTGRCTCCCAGCTCAGCTTTTCCCACTGTGGGGATTGATCCATCACAGCCGTCCCCAGGCAGGTGGATTCCAAACGTGCCAAATTCTGCTATTCCAGTGGGAAAAAAACAAGAAAAATCAGCAGAGCGGTGCTGGGATGTGAGGAAGGAATGCAGAATTTACGGACAGAATTCCAGGGGGAAAACTGGGATGAGGTGTTGGGCACACAAAGTTTGGTTTAAAGTTAAAGGAAATTTTTCCAARCAGAACAGCTCRGAGSTTGTGTTGGGGCCATTTGTTCCACMGGGTGGGGARAAGGGGGATGGCACCTGGAGATCTTGGAAAAGGGTGGGAATAAAGTCCCAAAGYTCCTTTAAACAGAGGGGTCTCACTTCCTGGGGAATGGATGAACAGGGATGGAAAAATTCCCAGTAAATCCCAACCCTGGCAGCTCTGCAAGGCCTTGGCTCTTAGCAGAGATGTGCATTGGAATCCACAAAATCCCAGAATGGTTTGGCTTGGGAAGGATCGGGAAGATCCTCCAGGATCCTCCATCTTCCCATGGGCAGGGAAGGGAAAGGTTGAAATGTGGGAAATCTTTCCCAAGGACCTCACCCCCTTCATCTCTCGGTGCAGTTGGGTGATTTTGTGGGAATTCTCTGATGTCCTGGGAGGTTCAGCGCTCACTGATCGAGGCTCCCTCCCAGCAGGGACACAAATCCCAAAGTTTGGAGTCCTGGAATCCTCAAGATTCACAAGACATCCAAGATTCTCCATCCAACCTGGGCCCAAATCCCCCCTTCTCACTAAGGGCCACTGCCACTCATTTTCTGAGCAATTCCAGGGATGGAAACTCCAAACCTTCCTGGGCTCTTCCAAAGCCTGACCACCCTTTCCATGGAGAAATTCCTGCTGATATCCCACCGGAACCACCTTGAGGCCATTCCCTCTTCTSCAGTTGCTCCCAACCCTCCCCGGCTGCCCAGGGAGTTGTGAAAAAMCAGAACATTCCCCTGATCCCYYTTTTYTCCAGGCTGASCCCCTTTCCCAGCTCCCTCAGGARTTCTCCATCCCCTTCCCAGCTCCCATCCTTTCCCTGGACATGCTCCAACACATTTTCCACCATAATTTCGGGAGCAGATGCTGCCTGATTTGGGAGCAGCTCCCAAAGGTGTTAAAAGCCGCCTCATTCCCGTTGTCCCTCCCACACAAACACAGGATGGCCACGCCAGCCGTGTTTCCTTGGGAAAGAAATGGATCCAGAAGCACAGAAAGTGCTGGAAAATGGATTTTGGTACAAAACCTCATCCTGGGGGAATATTCCATGAGAGAATCCGTAAAAGTTAATTCCCAGGTAAATCCCTCAGGCTGTGGAGTGTCAAAGACTGGAAAATGGAGGGATCCAGGAAGTTTCCAAGGAGTCAATGAGTGCTAGATTAAAGGAAAAACACTGGATTTKATTCCRTTTTAATTTTGTCYCGTGGGATTTGTCCTCTTTTGATTTGTTTCTGATGGAACCTCRAAAAACTGCTGGAAAAGTCCAAATATTCCCATGGGAACTTCACAGAGGCTCATTTTCCAAATCCAAACAAAATTCTGGTGATTGGGAATCAATCAATTATCCCAGYTATCCCTGAGCTAGTCTCCAGAAATTTGGGATTGGGATTGATTTAAACACGAGCAGAAATGAACAGCTGGGAGTGGGGGAAARSGRGTGGTTGGCTTTTCCTGCTTTTCYCTTTTTTCCAGAGAGTTAAASCTGTCCCTCTCCTGAWGGGATAAATTCCATGTTCCCAGGGTCAGCCTCTCTTTTTTTGGGATCCCTGGTGAGTGCTGAGTATCCAGGACAGGAAAATCTGGTATCTTTTGGGATCCTCAGAATGGTGCTCAAGGTTTACACTTCAAATCCTTTCAGGACGGGGGATTTTTATGGAAAGGATTTTTTTTTTTGAATGCTGGGCCAGGACATGGCAGGAATTTGGGAAGGATGGATGAGRGTTCAACTCGAATCCAACAAATCATCCCTGCGACAGCTCAAGGAAAGGGAAATTCCCCTCCCCCGCCCTCTTTGGCAGCTTTTCCAGCCCGATAAAAAGATCAGGGATGGATCGATGCTGCGGGGAAGGAGGGGGGTGGCCCTGGGGACACACG